TTGAGGATAAGTCGGTGGGACTTTTTTCATCTGCTTTTTGGTTACATGTTATAACCTGGTCCAAGGATGATCAAACTAACATGTATCTGAACTTACTTTTTGGATCTTAGTCCCACTTTCTAAAATAATTTCTTTTGTAAAAGTGAAACAGAGATTTAAATATGAGATCATATGAGTTGTATGGCCGAAGAGGCATTAGTATCTCCCTCACTTGGCTTTATCCATTATTAAAAAAAAATAAGCTTCTATTTTCAGTATCTTATAATATTTTTTCAAACATTTAAGTCGCCTGCGTGACTAACACTTTAACACTAAACCTAAAGAGCGTTTGCTCTAAATTACGGAGTAAGGAGCTGATCCTTACGTCGCGGGTTCGAATCCCACTGCTTGACGTGGAGACCGGTCCTTCGGATGCGACCGTAAAAACCGAGGTCTTGTGCCGCTGTAGGTGCTGGATCAAAAAGATTCTGTCCTGAGTGCAGAGTATACGTCTAAAACATGCAGTTTCTAAGAGCTAGTTTGCAAGTGGTGGAATCTCCGTACGGCTAATGAGTGAAAAATTCTCGGAAGGAACATTAAAAAACCCCCATACAAACAGTTTTTATGCATGTGAACAGGAATTTCTAATGATCGTGATCTTCCTCAGAAAATGACACTAATTTAAGTTTGAAAGCCGAAGTGGAGTTCAATTGTAAGCTGCCATTTATTCGCTGGTGGTCTGCAATAAAGGCTGGTCATTGTGAACTGATGATGACGCTGTTTCTAAACAAGACTTCTTTGGTAAACAAATCTTGTTTCTCGCACACCAACAGACGTTCACATGCTTATTATTGAGTTTATGTATTAGAATAAGTAATAGGTACAAAAATGTTTGTAGATGATTGTGTTGTCTCAATGAAAGAATTTAGAAACAGTGATGCACGCAATTTTAAATATTATTTTATGTCTTTTACTGGTTGTATAATTTGAATTTAGGTCAAAAAACTTTATTTCTATATGAAGTCCAGGCATTCGCTAACTTACTGCCTTTTGCACAATTACTGGACAGAATTCATCAAAAGTATTTCAATGAAAGATGATCGTCGAAAAACTGCAGTCTTTCCAATAAAGATTATCAAGGGTTATATTATGGGAGTTTTCACAGATGTCTCTGCTATTCGTTTGTTTTTCTTTAAAAAAATGAATTTCATAGTTACAAGATGGTTGCATCTGAATAATAAATTTTACTTATTTTTCTTCATTGTATTTTCCCTTGACTCAGACTTTTTAGAATTAATAATTAAAGCACCAGCTCCTAATTTTTGGATGGAATTTTATATTTAATTGTGTTAATGAAGAATATCATGAGTCCACTCCTTCTATTTTTCAAATTATTTATCTTCATTAATTAAACAACTAATTATTATGTGTAATTAATTATAATAGTTTATTAAAAGTTAATTAATCTCACCTTTTCGTTATGCATTTTTTTTTTATAAATGAATGTTTCCTGAAACATTCATGAATAATCTGGTGGTACATAAGAATTTGTTTTTAGCTAATTGTTAAATATTTAATTTTATCTAATAACATTTATTTTTTTTTATTGTCTACTGCTATAAAATTGCATGTGAACACTACTATAGAATTTCACTGAATCCATTGTTTTTCACTCTTTTGAACTGAAGATAAGTAAAAGTCTGGATACAAAGTTACGAAGATGTATAATCATACAGTGTCGGTAAAGGTCATTTTTCCCAGTAGCGTATACATTTACTGATATGATGAATAACAGAGGTATATAGCGTTAAAAATTGAAACTGAGCAGCACAGAAGGGATGTAATATAAAAGAGGCTTATTTGTGCCTTTATATTCTCAGTGGTTTAATGCCCAAGTAACTTTCGAACTTAAGATTAGGAAAAAGCTTTGGAAAGCTATTGAGAGTTTAAAATTTACACACACACACACACACAAATTCTTGACATTTGTCGGGGAAAGTGGTTTGAAATAGCAAAAGGAACAACGAGTTTTCAGCCGCCTACTGGTAGAATAACTATTTACTGGTAATTGTTAAGGATGGCTCAATGTTTACATTTAAATTAGCATTTAGCATTTAGATATGATGAATATCATTTTTAAAATAAAATTTACTTTCATTATTTTACAAGTCTAGTGACCGTTTTTTTTAAATGAAAAAATTAATATATATAATAAGCAATTTTTTTTAATTAAAAAAAAATATGTAATTAAATTTGCAAACTTGACGATTTTTTTTTACACTAGGAATTTTTTTTTTTGATAACTCAAAATACCGCAGATAAAATGAATATGAAGTGAAAATTTCCCTAACAGATAAAAATTGAAAATGAAGTGAAATCTGGTCACATATATTTAATCATAGATTTTTTAAAAAAATGCCGAAAATCTTAAGGATATTTATCATAGTAAATCTCTGATATTTATCATTATTATGCTCAACAAAATAAAATAACATACTTACCGTACTTTGTGTATCTGTGGTGTATTTCACCGAGTCTACATTACCTTTATATATTGCGGGGATGCTATTAAATTGGACTTTCGAAATATTAGAATCTTTAATTAAAAAATATACCTTTCATAAAAGTACAATGAATTTCCCCGAATAATAGTGACCCGTTTCTAAACTCCTGTTATCACATGCACTTTTGATGTTCTTGTTACGTATAAATATCGATATGTACTTTAATGTCAGGATTTAGTACATATGCACAAAAATTTAAGATGTTTCGTTGGAAATTCAGTATATTCTTATAAACATAAATATATAGCTCGGCCATTTTTGTTACTCTTTAATAGAATGTTAATCTCATTTTTCACCCATCACACAAAATTAAACAAAACGAAATGATTTCTGTTTTGCTAATCATCATCCTATAAAAACCGCAAAATTATAGTAATCAGTAAGAGAAACTTATATCTTGATATAAGAAAGACTTAAATGAAACAGAGAAGACTTTAAAACACATAAGAAATTTTCATGTTTTATGTCTACTTTTCTTTGAATGTAATAAAGCTATCAAACTTTTAACAATGATATATAGGAATTGTTTATTTTTAGACAAAATATAGAATGATCGATTAGTTTTATGAAATGTGTTGTTATATTGCTATGTTAAAAGTACACAAAAATAATTAAATACATGTATACAACGTAATATTAACGTATTGTTAAAGTACAAAGATACGGATTTTCTTCAATATCCTCGAGCTCTTCTTTTAAAAACACATACATGTACTTTAGTATTCGTCATGGCTAATTTTGATGCATTTTATGAATAATTTGTTTAAAATAAAAACAGAAAAAAGAACACAAAAGCAAACAAACTATTTGGCATGATGTTTTAATTAACTGCTGTGAGCTAGGTAATGAAAACGTACACGATTTAATGTTTTGTGTTCCCCTTCATATACGCCTTAAGGTTCATTGATACTCGATAAGAGTGATAACTCTTAATGACATAAATGTCTATTATTCCCTTATAGATATGTATGTTAAGTTGAAATGTCTTTTTGATAAATTTTGCCTCGCAAGCTATGGTATAAAAGGTTTGTATTTTACTAATAAGATACATTTATTTCATAAAAGTTAAGGCAACGTTTTAAATGAATGACAGAAGGTTTGTGAACCTTAATTTCCTTTGTGAAAAGAAAAGAAATTTATACGCGTTTTATGTAAGAATACCTGACTTAGAAGTAGAATTAAATCTCTGTGCTGATGATTTTGGGAAATAAGATCAATAATTTATGATTCAATAATTCATAATAGTATTAACAATTTAGAAATAGATAATAAGACTTTAATGATGAAATGTCAGAACATATTTTTGAAAATAAAGACATTTAAGTGAACATAAATCGCTCGGTTTAAAAAGCAATATATTATTAATTTTCGCTGCAAATCAACAACACTTAATTTAATCACAATCTCATATGCTTTTTCTTAAACGAACAACAGGTGAATATTTGAAATTCACTATGCATTGCTATCCTTAACCTTACTCTAGAAAGCACCGCATTTTATACTACAGGAATAATTAATTCTGGGAATTTCAAAAGTACAGAAGAAATATTTCTTAAATTGTTTAATTTATTCAGGACTTCAGGCAGAAAACGCATTTGCGAATAAGTTTTATGATATTCTTTTTGTAAAATGTCCTTTTCAACTTTCCGTAAGTTTTAAGATTTGTTTTTGTAAAATGTCCTTTTCAACTTTCCACACGTGCAGAACTAACCTCCACCCTTAGGCCCATGGACACAGGGGTCATAAATTTCACAATTATGTAAAGGATTCGCACAATCATGGCCACAGTTTCCCCCTATACTATAAATGAGTACTTTTTATCTCCCTCTGTCTCTCTTAAATAGTACTTTCACTTGCTCTACCTTTGTTATAAGGTTACAAATATTTAATATAAAATGTGTCATATTTTTTTATTTTGCAAAGATTAATAAACTGAAATATAGAATTAAAACAGAAAAAGAAAAAAAAAGAGAAATTTTACAAGATATAATATGGATTTTCAATATACATGTATTATCAATTAAGCCACAGGCTGATACTTGGAACAATAAACTCAGGAGTTATAAATTTCGCAATTTTGTAAAGGGTCACGGAACTCATACCAAAAGCGAGGAAGAGGACATGAAATTAAAAAGAAGGATTTTTCCCTTTATCAATTACATAATTATATAAGAAATTTTCTATGATGCTCTCATGCTTAGCAATTCCCCTTATAAATCTAATACTATGACGATATTCATTACTTTGAAGAACACTGGGGAGAAATCGTGAATGAAAATTAACCATTAAACTTTACATGATTAAACATGTTTATTTTGCTTGTATTAACATTCATCTAGTATTCACTTTCAAGATTTTTGTTTGTTCGTACTAAGTGAACTTCAATGGAAGAAAAAAAAATAGAATACGTGACATAAATATAAACCAAACAAATGCAGTAAAACAATGATGACGATAAATATTTCTTAAAAAAAAGGGAGAAGCGAAAATTGATTAACTCTGCAATATTTCACATAGAAATCTTCTTTTGTTTTTACAATAATTATCATTCCATGACCATGCTTCCATCCCTGCCAATTCCAGACAATGCTCGTGATCGAGTATATTGTTTGGCTCATCTGGACTCCAATTGGTAAATGTTATATTTGCATTTGTAGACGCCCATTTCCAAACACCCTCTCTTTCCTCATCTGTTCCTCCTACCCATACACTAGCTGGAAATGTCAAGAAGCAAAAAAAAAAAAAGTAAAAAAATATGTTTTCTTAATTAGGGTTTCATTTTTTAAAAGATGTTTTTACAGTTAAACTCGAGCTCTTTGGCACAAACACAGATATAGCCAATTTACGGATATAGCGAAGTTTATTTTATTCCCGGCGAAGTTTTAATTAATTCCTTATAGAACGAATTGGGATATAACAAATTTATGGATTTAGAAAACTGAGGTTAAAAATAAAGATAATAATATTTTTGATAATGAATTTTTATGATATCAACATTCAAAATATTGAACTGGCAATATTTTGTAAACATTTTGTAAACATTCATATTTGAAATTCAATTTATCAAAAAGATTTAGTACTCCAAGGTAGGTTTTGTATTTAATACTTCCCTGGACATATTCTGTGGTCATAGTTTGTCGAAGATTTGTCTATAAACTTACATGAATTTATTACACGGATGAGATTATGGATTATGGATACAACAAGGTACACTGATAGCCCCTTTAACCGAGTTTCACTGTATTGAGCAACAGATAAAATAAATTTAACACTTTTACACATACTTCTAATTACAAAATGTATATCATGTATTATAAATTCGGCTATACAAAATACCCTGATGGATAAATTATTCTGTTCTTTAAAACCATTCCTTCAGGTTTTCAAAATTTTAAGGCATATGTAAAATCTTCTATGTATATAAAATATCCTTCAATCAAACAATGAAAAGATAACGCTGAAAAAAGAATATGCTAAGCTATCACTTCTAATTTTAAGGAGATATATGACGCATCTTGGCTAAAAATAATAATACGAAATTGTGTGCAGATACACTTATTATACAATAGAATTAAATTTTCATCAATTTTCAACTCTGATAACTTCACATCTCACGTCTCTATAGTTAAATTGGCTTGAATTTTAATAGGATCCGCCACACGTACAGTTTTGTATAGTGACTGCCGGAAAATACAGCATTAATGGCACGATGAAAGAAAGGGTATTTGTATACACAATGTTGTTAAAGCAACATGATTTTCTTCTTACTTTTTTCTACATATACCTTCTCTTCCACACTTTTCTATCTTAATTTGTCAAACTGCTTGCGTCCGCTGGGCTACCTCTCTTTTTCATAGTCGCCATTGTTAAGATAATTATATAGTTACGTGGAATTAAGTTAAAGCTGAGTTATTCGAAATTCTATTGTTTTTGTGGATTTGATAAAAAAAAAAAAACACCCGGTAATTTTGAATTTTTGATATTTATGAAGCGCGTTGTCTTTAACAGAAAAGACCTATCTTTATATATAGTAATTAGTGAAGTGCCTATGAAACAATTACATCACAACAAGAATCAGGGCTTGGAAAATTAATTTTAAAAAAAAGATGGCAATTCCTCTCTAAAGACTTTTTTCAAAGTAGACCTTATTTAATCTGCCGCACGTGGTAGTAGTTACGATTCATTTCTTTTAGCAATTAAAAAATAAAAAAAAAAAAGAGTTGGAGAAAAAATGGTAATTAATGAAGAAGGTGAAAATACTGATAACGAAAAAGTGACGAATCTAAAAAAAAACAAATACAAATAAGAAGTCTGTGAGCCATTGCTCACTAATTATACCCCGCTCTGTTCAGATGTGAATACACCAGTTCAACGGCAACAAAAATGTTATTTATGGTACGGACAGACACACGGATAAACAGGAAGTTGACATTAAAATCATACAAAAATGAATCCCACCATATTACATGCCTTAACAAAGAGTGAGCTAAACTTTCAAGCATCTGCGATGAGTAATTGCTGAGAAAACTGCGACCAAAATTTGTTATGTATGGTACAGACAGACACGCGGATAAACAGGAAGTTGACATCGGATTCATACCCACCGTACAACATGCCTAAACAAAGAGTGTGTTAAAATTTTAAGCATCTGCAATGAATAGTTGATGAGAAAACTACAACCAAAATTTGTTATATATGGTAGACGGAACATTTCGTAGTCAAATTAAGTATAAAAACAAAGGCCCTACAATTGGTATAAAACACATCCGCCAAAATAACTCATACAATAATGGACATTATGTATTATGGATAAATACATTGGTTCTAGCTAGCTTTAAAATTAGTCATCAAAATTGTGTTTGATTTACAATGTAAAAATTGTACCTCCAATTGTGCTAGCCTCACTCAAAGTGTTGTTCACTATAAATGTGTTCTCCTCTTCTGTTTCAATTTCTGCTAATTTTCCCCCAATATCAGAACACCAAACCTACCAAAAAAATAAAAATAAAAATAAAAATAAAATAAAATAAAATAAAATACAAAATGTAATTATTATTCATAATCATTTAATCTCTTTTCTACAATCGGAGGCCAAAATCATTTGACGTATTTTTCGTAATATGAAAATGTTGACTATTTTATAGACAATTCAAATCATTTATATTATTTTCTGTGTGAGATGGGATTTTTTCGCACTCGTTAATATATTTTAAATAGTCCTCTACCACTCGTGTTATAAAATCCATATCAAACAATTATACCAGTACTTTGAATATCCTGCTTAAATTACCTGAGACTCTATCCAAGTTCTTCTGCTCAGAAATAATATGTAAATCGATTTTCCATTCGAGGACCATGAGTGTGGAGACTCTACAAGAAAGCTCTCAGAAAGTTTAACGGTAAAACACGCTTATAGCAAAAACACTTATAATGAATTGACGCTTACAGCGAAGTGATTTTCATTCCCACTGACTTTAAAATATATTGCAAACCTAACGGATATAAAGAATTATGCTTATAAAATCATTCCTCTCTTGTACTTCATTATTATAATAGCTTCCTTTACTGTGCTTCTAAATACAAGACATCTTTTTTTCCTAAAGGGTGAACAAAATTTCCCTTATTAATATTTGACATAATAAAAATATGTTTAGAGATGCCTGAATTTCAATTTTTAAAATATTCTGGTGGAATTTCTAGAACTAAGGTCCACTTGTTGATAATTAATGTATAAAATGTTATTGTTGTTTTCTGAGGCAAGTAGGCAGCCGATTTTTTTAAAGAACAATACGTGTTTAAATGTAAATAAAAAAGATAATACCTGGTTTATTATATTAAAAGTAACACCACTGAATAAAAAAAAAACATGAGTGAAGACTTACCGATTACATTTTTCAAAAGGCTCGTTTGCCGTTGCAGTGACTGGTTAAGTTCTGTTAAAGATAGTTCAACATTTTAAAGAAACAAACATGGAACACGTATTCATAATACGGGACAAGTAAAAAGTAAATTTCTACTTATTTACTCTATATAAAGAGACTCTCGTTCTTTCAAAATGATAGACACGTCAAAGAAAGAACTCACCGATGATTCTTTTCTGATCCTCTCGTGCATTGTTCCCTATAACACGAAGACATAAGCAAGAAAATTTATTTATTAATAATATTAACTCTTTTGATAATTTTTTTGGTGGTGGACATTAAAAAGTCGATATTTAATAAAATAGAAAATCGGAGTGACTTTTCGCAAAATATTACACTATTTTAAGAGAAATAACTCGTAGATTGTTATGCCATGTTGACTATGTTAATCTTGTGAGAACGATTTCTCTCAAATTTGTCCAGTTTGGTGAACTACGTATATTCTTGAACACTGCTTGTACATTTTTTAAAAAAGAAAATTGGTAAAGCTATGATTTTCTCTACTAAAAACAAATGAAATTAAAATAATTTATTTACTTTTAAAAATTATCCAAAAAAATGAAATAAGGCTTTTTAACAAAAATATATATATATACTAATGTAGTAGAAGATTGTTATTTCACAGAAGGACAGTTGATGATAATGTTGTTTGTTTGATTACATCACCTGATAGGCGTATTGAAAGCTTGTAAATAAACACTTAATTTGCAGGTCTCTTAAACAGCGATTTCTTGCTTTTATTAATAGTGCTTTAAATGTAGATGGGAAGTTTTCAAATAAATGAATAAATCAATCAATCAATCAAAACTTATAAAATGTAAAAAAAAAAAAATATATATATAATATAACTCACCATTGTTATTGAGCTTAACAGCAAATAATGATGCCATCGTAACAAAACCACAGATCAGAATAACACTGACGATAACTGCAACGCATGTTTTGATAGGAACCCTTGATTTTTGAGGTTTATTAGTTTCATCGCCAACCTCTTTCTTCTCCTTTTGATTTGATTTTGCGGGGTATTTCTGGAGCTTTAAATCGACAAAGGTATATATAAAGTAAAATGTATAAAAACTACAAAAAATAGGTTGCTAAATTTCAAGAATTATCAAAATTCTTTTGATTTCAAATGACATACATGTATTAATATTAAGCAAACTTTACACTAACATCCAACCTGTTAGAACTAGAACATGATGTTTTTTTTTACATTTTAAAAAAAATATTCTGCAAAAGCAGTTAATGAAGAAGTTATTTAAAAATTTACTATCTTGTATTATTCTTACCCGTTCATATCTCCCGTCCTCTCTCCATTCCTTTAAAGAAAGAACTTTCAATTACATCTAAGTGAACTTCATATTACCTACACCAAAGAAGCTTAAGAAATGTTATGTTTTTGGCCTACATGCTTATCTAGGTTTTATACGGGATGGAAAAGACTCCATCAGGTTATGTGGAGGACCAGGCTCGTTTTCTGCATAATTGTTTCCCTTTTCTTTGTATATCATTATCTTTCATATATTGTATACCCATCCAATTTATCAAACAAAGTCATACAGTTTGAATTATTTGAGACTCAGAAGAAATATTAGTGCCACAACAGATTAAGACTTGACATTCACTTCACAAAAATACATCGAGGAACATCTTCGATCTTTGCAATAGGAGGGTTGTCCCAGAAAACGCGAACTTTTTTGAATATTTCAGAAACTATTTGACCAAAACTAAAAAAAAATTGCACGATGTTAGAAAAATATATTTGCGGTATGTTGACGAAATATTTTAGGCTTGTGATGTCATAAGTATATAAAACAGGATTTAAAGTGTGTTAAATATCGGTGGTCGGCGCACGGCAATTTTTGACTTTTAAAAGTAGCATTGTCAATGAAGTTTTCTTTATTACCAGGCTATACGGAAATATAATGTCACAAAATTTACCTCCATAAATACTCTTTGATCTGGTGTACTCGTATATAAAAATTCATTAATTTGACAACATTAATGACAAATATATGACGTTATATGCCAAAACACTTTTAATAAGATATTGTCAAAAATGGTGACGTTTGGCGATAATGCGGAGCACGAAATTATTAAGCAGTACTGTGTTGAGCGGGATATGACTCCTATCCATACGATAAAGAGATGTTAACGATGGAAAAACAGAAATATAAATCTCGGACACAGGTTTATCCCCAGTTAAAGAGGTTTGAGGATGACTTAACTGGTTATCCGATAGAAGAGGCGTTTTGTAGACCAACAAAAATGAAAACTGAAAGTCAGGAGCTGGACGTCATAGGCCTAAGGGAAGGCCGCCGTTAAACAATTAACCGTTAAACTGTTAGGTTTATTATCGGCATTGAGAAATTGTCTATTAAAAGAATTAATTCCGCAATCTTCTGGCAACACTAGTATTTGAAAATAAATAAAAGAAAATTAAATACAGTGCCAAATTTATGCTTAAACGAATTTTGCCAGAAGCACATTTCCAGAACATTTACAAACGCCACGAGCTACGTTTTGACGTCGTCAGTGTTACGCCGACAACTAGTTTATAAGATTCGTTTACCTGAAAGAAAAATGTTATTTACGGAGATATTTCATTGAAATTTATATGCATTATTCAAACATTTTTGATTATGATGTATGGCAATTTTTAACTTTATAGTGTTAGTGAAACAAAAGATATTGCAAATGTTCGCGTATTTCTGGGACAACCCTCGTACTAATAACTTGGCAAGGTTCATAGGCAACGGCAAAAAAGAAGGGATATAAAATCGAAGACGGTTATGGAGTTCACTAATATGCTTAATATTATGAGTATGTTTCAGCATGATGCATATTCATGAGCATAGATTATTTAAAAAAAAATATCTAACACTGTTGAAATCTTACTAAAACAATAAAACAACACATTATATGGGCAAAAGTTTTCAACAGTTTACTTCAAAACAGTGATTTCACCAAAGCATGTTGTAAATGGTACATACTACAGAAGAGAATAAATAAACATATACATGTTTCAATTTTATCTTCCTTTAGAATGCCTTTGTATCCTTTAAACCGACTTATTTATTGTGTATTTCTTTCAATAAATATTAATTTTTCATGAATAAATATTCATGCAGTGCATATTCATATATATATAACTGCCCTAAACGAAGAAATATTAATATAGAAAGCACAAAGAAATTCACTTTTATAAGGATACCCACTCCGCCCCAGCCCAGGGTTGAACTCTCGACCTACGGATTCTGTCTCCTAGCAGTACAGGAACAGCGAGGTAGATCGCTTGGCCATCTAGGCAAGTCAAAATAAAACTTGCTTTCGATGCCGATGGAATTCTCGCGGCGCTGCCCTACACTACGAGGGTTGTCCCAGAAAAACGCAAACTTTTTAAATATTTCATAAACTACCTGACCAAAATTTTTCATTTTTGGCACAATGTTGGAAAATGATATTTTCGTCATTTTGACCAAATACTAAAAGGTTGGAACGTCATATGCATTTAGAAACAGCATTTAAAGTATTTTAAAAATCGGGGGTCAGCGCACGGCAATTTCTTGTCTTTAAATATTAGCATTGTCATCTAATTTTTCTTCATTACAAGGCTATACGGAAATATAATGTGACAAAATTACATCCATAGAAACTGTGCGATCTAGAGTACTCGTGTTTAAAAAAAAGAAGAAGATCAATTTGACTTAATAAATGACAAAAATATGACGTTATATGACCAAACACTATTAGTTAGATATTGTCAAAAACGGCGACGTCGGACAATAACGCAGCTCACCAAATTATCAATCAGTACAGTGTGGAGCGGGGTATGACTCCTGTTTATACGGTAAATGAGCTGGAACGATTGATTGTATATTGTATATTGTTTTACGTCCCATTCGAGAATTTTTCACTCATATAGAGACGTCACCATATACCGGTGAAGGGCTTCAAATTTTGACCTTTACTCGGCACTCAGGGCCATTGAGCAGTGAGGGATCTTTATCGTGCCAACGCCTGCCGTGACACGGGGCCTCGGTTTTTAAGGTCTCATCCGAAGGAGCAACTTTTACTTCAAAGTGCCGAGCGCATGGCGAAGGAACAGTTGCTACCTATTTTTTATCGAATTAGGTCTGTCGCGGCCAAGAGCGGGAACGAAGGAATGACACAAATACATGTACATGTATCAAATACTGGATTATACATAGAAAAAGAGGTTAAAGGATGGACTGGTTATCCGATTGAAGGAGCGTTTGGTAGACCAACAAAAATGACGACAAACTGAAAAGTCTAGAGCTGGACATCATGGAGACCGCCGTTAACTATGAGCGTAGTTAAGTTTATGATCGGGGTTGTAGAATTGCCTATTTAAAAAAAAACAAACCTTGATTTATTCTTAACTGTAGTACGTATGAAATGGATAATTCGGATACTAAAAGAAAATCAAATACAGTATCGAATTTCTGCTTCGAACGATTCCTAGACAAATTAAAAAATTCCACGAGCTTCATTTTGACGTCGTCGGTGTTGCGCAGGGAGCTATTTTGAATGATTTGTTTATCAGAGGGAAAAATCTTATTTAAAGAGATATTTTATTGAAATTTCTGCGAATTATGTAAAAAATGTTGATTAGGGTGTATGCCAATTTTTAACTTTCTAATATAAGTGAAACGAAAAATATTGAAAATATTCGCGTTTTTCTGGGACAACCCTCGTACATGGTCATCGAAAATGGAAGACAGATACAGTTATTTAGACATTAGTTTTATTAGAGGAACGTTACCGATACTCATTGTAATGATTTTTTTTTATACAACACATTTTACAACAACTCTTAAACTAACATAACTGCTCTAAGTAAAGAAATATTACTATGGAAAGCACAAAGAAATCACGTTTATAAGGATACCCACTTCCGCCCCAGCCCAGGGTTGAACTCTCGACCTACGGAATCTGTCTTCTAGCAGTACAGGAACAGCGCGGCCATCTAGGCAAGTCAAAATAAAACTGGCTTTCGATGCCGATGGAATTCTCGCGGCGCTGTCCTACACTACACGGTCATTTAGAATGGAAGAGAGATACAGTTATTTGGACATTAGTTTTATTAAAGGATCGTTACCGATACAATTTGTAATGAATTAATTTTTTCATACAGCACATTTTATGATGAATGTTATGTTTACAGGAATGTCAAGGATAACCCTAAGTGTAGTTTATTTCCTCTTTTTTATTAAATCATCATGATATCATCATGACATTGTAATTCATAGTCATGAAATAAACTAATTATACAGAAACTGAGATTGTTCATTATATAAAGTATTCATCCGTTTATAAAAACCCCCCAGATGCCCTTCGTGTTTAACGTTTGGGAACAAACAAATAATATGTGGAAGAAGAAAATATTGTTTTGCAGATCTTAATACAGTAATAACTTTTACTGTATCCAATAATTCTCAACAGTGTACTTATTGTTGTTCATTGTGTTTTTTTTATTCCCAAACATACATTTGATAATTATATTGCATTGAATATATAGATTGCTTTTTTCAATTCTGGAGCTAGGAGTATGATGAGAAATGCTGGGTTTTTGAAGTAACACAAGTCAAAAAAGTGATACACATAAAAGACATTACACACTGAAAAACTTACCAGAGATTCATACGGCCTATATGGTCTGTTTTCAAAGGTTATAAACACTGGACACGGATATTCATCTTGGATTTCAACCTATTGTAAAACAGGGAGAATAGACATTTAATGTACATCACCGAATTTACGCGACATCTTATTTTCGAGAATGGTGATTTGGTATTTATTAGCGAGACATAATTTTCACAAAGTTTGATATTTGTTCTACATTACTTTTATAACAATAAATATACGTGAGAATTGGATTTGTGCGA